AATTTGAAACCCATCATCTCCTTATCATCAACCCCTGGGATCTTGAAAATGACATGTAATTACCTGTTTTCTTTCACTATGTTTGTGATTTTTTTTTTATTAGCACATATTTGCAGTACATAATGTTTACATTCCTTGTGGGGAATTAGTACACGTATGTAACACATCTTAATTCCTTTTTGTTATCCTCTTTCCATCCACATTTTGATCCCCTTCCCTTTTTCTTTCCTATATTTTTGCAATACAATTACTTGTTTTGACAGAAAGTGCTTACTTAAAAGTAGTACCTAGGGCTCAAAGACCAAAGAAGCTGAAGGAAGAAGGAAAATGTTATGATGATAGAAAGTAAATGAAATATGACTATAATTTTCATGTTTTTAAATATTTATTTATTCGTTTATTTATTTATTTGATACAGGATCTCGCTAAGCAGTTCAGACTCACAGTGATCCTCCTGTCTCAGCTTCCCTAGCGCTGGGGTTACAGGCATGTACCGCTGGGCCCAGTTTTGGGGCTGGCACGGCATATGGTTACTGGGAATTAAACTCAGGTCCTTGCTCTTGCCAGGCAGAGGCTTAGACCGCTAAGCTATTTACCCAGCTCAAGAATATAATTTTTGCCTATAGTTTTCTCATCATTTTTTTTTCACTGAAGCCTAGTAGTCTCACATTGTAAACAAGGTTGGAGAACTAGAAATGAAATCAAATACCTGTTGGAAGAATTTACCAGAAATCCTTAAGTATTCTCAATAAAATGTTATTAATCTCCCAAAGTAGGCAATGTCAATTAATGGAGGGCAGAAAAACGGTTTAAAAAAAAAAAAAAAAAAGTCAAAAGTGATAAAACTATCACTAACTGGTAAATCTCAATTAAAAAAGTCAGAGCATAACAATATTTTTAACTAAAGGAAAATAAGCCTTTAAATAGTATTAATTAAAAGAAATAAGCTAAAATTAATTTCAAATTAAAATATATCAAAGGACTCTATAGAATAAAAAATGAAAGAAGAGAGAAACATAAGGTTGAAATATGCATACATATATTCTATATTTTAGACACAATGTGTAAAATGAATTAAAAAAATTTTACATGATCATGTCAACCACAAAGATAGCAAGCATCAACCTTTCAACTTTTCACTTCAGTAAATTACATCTTATTTTAATGAACTGTATAATCCTGTCAACTTTTTGGCCCTTGATTTCTCTATAAAATTATCTATTTCATATATATAAAACTATCTCTGCCTTAAGTCATACCTATGTTTAGTGAGGAAAGCATTTAGTTTGGTGGAGTGAGTACTTCAGCTATGAACACTAGCATTGTTACCATCTCATAAAAGCTAAAGCCACAATTATTCAAAAAAATGGTATTGGTGAGAGCAAAGAATACTACACTTTGACACACCACAACAAATAATGTCAACATTTACATGTCTCACTTTCACAGAAACTTGTTTCTTTATTCATGTTTTTTCTCCCTGCCCCAGCACTGCACACTAAACAACTGCTCTGCTACTCAGTTTGGTCCCCAAATCTGTACTTTCACTTAGAATACAGTGTTCCATTTTATGGGCCTAATAGGAAACTCCAGCTCCAGCTAGTGAGGAGCACCACAAAATGAGAAAATGTGGTTACAACGTGTGCAAGCTAATGGGGTAGGGCAGTCAGGGGAAGACAGGGAAATAAAAGGTTGGAAAGGAAAGATTCAATTAGAGCATCTGATACAGTTTCAATGTGAAGTTGTTTTTTAAGGTGGGCAGTATGAGGGACTGAAACCAGCACATCATGTTGAACTGAGCTCTTTGCCTACTTTAATTTGAGGCAGAGAAATTTGCTAAATCACTAAGTTGCTGCCATTGGATTCAAACTTTCAATCTTCCTGCCTCATCCTCCCACAGTTCTGGGATTACAGGCTTGTCACAACATGACCAATGAAGACATGAAGTATTTTAAATTTGTATTTGTTTTCTACAGGCTCCCTCTAAAACTTGTAACTGAAACTCCTCGTCCTTCATCTCTCTTAGCTCCTAGCAGTTGACTGGCAATTTGAATTCCTTGGCTTACAGCTCTATTATACTTATTAATATCTATCATCTCATGTCACACCTCTGCCCACTATGTCCCCCACCATTGAATCTAAAGACTTTCACATAAGAAATGTGAAATCTACCACCACTATGCTACACTTTCAACTATTACTTCATCTTAGTCTACAAAGACAAAGTCTAAGGCAAAAGACTACACCAAGAGCACAAAAAAAGTACTACTGACTTAGTAAAACAGAGATCATATGTCCTATAAATAACCACCTACCCCATTAGAGATACCTAGTTTTTATATAAAATATTAGTAATTTATAATCTCTTTGGTAAC